CTTGCACGTCAGTGGGGAAAAACCCAAGACCTGTGGTCAGAAGATCTGGATGCAAGCCTGCCCCTGCCTCTAACTAGCTGTGTGCCCTTGGTGAGTCACATGACCTCTCTAAGACTCGAGCTGCATATCCGTAAACGGTATTTGAGTTGCATACTGCCAGCCCCATTTTACAGATGAGGAAACCAAGCCTCAGATGGGTTACATCATATTGCAGAGCCAGGATTCAAATCCAGGTCCATCTGACTCCAAAGCCCAAGTGTTCACCAACCTGGGCTCCACAGATCTACCACGAGCACATATGACTCCCGCCTTCCTAGCACAGGACTGTGATTTGCACCTCCAAGAAAAGCCTATAAATAAGACAATATTTACATTAAAGGAAATCTTTTCAAAGAATTTTTACTCATTAACTCTTATTTATAGATAATATTAAAGACACAGTAGAGCTAAGTTGTTAAGCATACACCTTCTGGGGCCAGTCGGCTGGGTTTGAGTCCCAGCCCTGTTATTTGCTTGACTCATGATCTATCCCAGCCCTGTGATTTGCTTGACTCATGATCTAGGGTAAGTTATCTATCCTTTCAGGACCTCAGTTTCTCTCATCTGTACAATACAACTAAACACAGTATTTTGCTTACTGTGAGGACAAAATGAGTTGAAATATGAAACGTACTAGAAGAGTTGTGAGGCATGTGGTAAGGACCACAGATGTGCTGGCCATTACTTCATTATTAAGAAAGTCCCTAACCTTTCTGAAGAGTAAGCAGGGTTAGAGCCTCACATAGATAAGGAACAATGCTGGAAAGGTTGACCAATGTGCCCAAGGTCACTCAGTGGGTTAGGGGCAGAACCTGGTGAAGAAGCAGTTCCAATGCTGGGCCCAAGGCTCATTTTTCCACCCCACAGCTGCCTCCTGTTCAAGGACAGGGAGCAGGAGCATGCCAAAGGGCAAGGGAGGTAAAGAGAGTTGGCGAAGGGGACGGGTTCTTCTCAGCCTCCCTTCCCCAGCCTCTCGCAGCTGCAGGCTTTGCCCCGCCCAGCAGAATCTGAGCCACCAGACCTGACCAGGCAGGAACACATGAGGAGCCTCACCCCAAAAGCGGGAAGGATCCAGAATGTGCCCTGGTACACTGGTGCCCCAGCCTGCACATGCCTACTGAGGGCAGTGGCCTCACACTGGGGTGGGCAAGTGAGGGAGACAGCATATGCCCACCTACATCACAGCCATGACACTCTGGATCTACCATCCCAGGAGGCAGCAGTCACCAGTCTATGAGCTAAGAGCTACATTGAGGTTCCAGTGTCAAGTCTTTATGTTCAGAAAGGGCCGAGGGGACATTGCGTAATTGCTGGAAACACGACAGAACATGAATCACAACAGAACACGAAACCAGCTTCTTGAATTGCAAAACATAAGTCACAGTTCCAACTGTTCTGTAACAGCATTTAAAAAAACAAAAAACAAAAATTACCATCAAGATGGAAACTGAAAACAAAGATACTCTAGGAGCAAAACATCTCAGAGAGAAACTCACTAGCAGCTTAGACTGTAGCCCACCACCTCTCTGCCTGTGTATTTTTTAAGGTGCCTTTCTCCAGCCATAAAATCCTAGAACACGCAGTCACTGAGATGCACCTGTCCCACAGCCCTGTCCCCTGTGATCGGCCCTGCAGACCTGAGGAAGCCTGTATCCCAAGGCCATGCTCAGCTTGCCTGGCCTGCCATGGAAGAGGTTGCAAGAACCACACTGCCACCATGTGGGCAACTCTGCTTACAGCCGCTGCTGAGAACCACTGCTGCCCGCCCTGTCACCAGCTGCAATCCCCCGGGGTTTGAGCCCACATTGCCCTCTGATGGCCTAGATTGGCTGGCTGGTAGTCAAATCAGACCCTTGCTAGGGGCGGGTTAGGACCTTTACGCTTCCACCTCCTACTACCTGGGTGACCCTGGACAAGCTACTTAACCTCTATGTGCCTCAGTTTTCCCATCTATAAGATGGCGGCTGTAACAGCACCCACCACATAGGGTTGTAGGATTAAATGAGTTAATACATGTAGGGTAGTCAGAACAGCGTCAGGTATTTGGTAACTCTTCATCATATCAGTAGCTTTTAAACTCTTGAGCATGACCCACAGTAAAAAATACATTCTACATCACAATCTAGGACATACAGCCATATAGGCATGACACCAAGAAATGTTTCACCAAATGATACTTATAACATGCGACGTACTCTGATATTTTCAATTCTGTTTTTTTAAAAGCTGCTGACCACAACCCACTAAATGGATTTCACAAACCCACTGATGGCTCACATCCCACAGCCTGAAAAACACTGCAATAAATGTCGGTGAGGGGTGGCAGTAGAAGCTTTACCCTTAGCTCCTTCCCTTCCCTCACACCTGTGCCCTGAGCCTGCCTGTGACTGAGCCAGACCCAGGCCAGGTCAGCTCTGGCTGGGCAGACGAGCCACCATATAGCTTGTAGCCTATTGTGTGAGCAGCCTTCCCTATCCATCTCACAGGCTCCCTCCCTGCAGGAGGGAAGGAGACTCCTTCATTCCTCAGGCACTGCCAGTGTGCCAGGCCCTGTCCTCCATCCTTCCTCTGAGGAAGGCATCATTCTTCCCACTTCTCAGCTGAGAAGCCTGAGGCCAAGAGAGGTGAAGTGACTACGGAACAAGGACAAACAGGACTGGTCCTCCTTTGGAATTCAGAATGTGAATTAAGCAGGGAAATTGGCCTTCCAGAAAACGCTGTGGAAATGCTGAATAGGATTTAGGGGCAGTATAGCCTCTAGGAGGCTTTGGAAGAGAAAGTGCTGGAGACACAGAAAAACAGAAATGAAAATGGACAGGGTAGGAATGCCCCTGCCAGATGGCATCCGGCATTCGCAGGAACAGCTGCACCAAGGGGTGCTGACCTCAGGAGAGCCAGGGGCACTGAGAGTCCCACGTGGATCACCACTGTTGGCTCCAGTCCTAGGTGGGGACAGAGGCAAAAGTAAGAGGTCAGACAGGGCAGAGAAGGCCAGGCCTGCCCATGCCCTCACCTAGCCTCTGCCTGCAATGGACAAGGGACTCTATTAAGTGGAAGGCTGACCTGGCTGCTGGTGGCCAGAGGACGTGGACCTATTCCAAGGATTCCCTCACCTCATCCCAGAAGAAGGTCCCCGCACAGCTATGGCTGTGGCCCTGCCCACCCGGGGAGTGAGGGAGTGAACCTGCCAACTGGACAAACAACAGCGTGATGTGTCCAAGACCAACTGGAAAAAAAACATGGCAGTGATTTTGGAAGGGAACGATGGGACCATGCATTGTGGTGGGGAAAATGGGATTTGGGGTGAGAAGCTTTGATGTGAGTCCCTGCTCTCTGTTCATGGAACAAATAATCCCTGAGCACCTACTGTCATGCACCAAGGCTTGAGGTAAGCAGTGGAGAGACAGACAGAGCCCCAGGAGCTGACAGTATAGTGAGGAGTGAGGAATAAAGAAACAGGGACAGTACGGAGTCTTGAGTGTGGTGACTGATAGATGCACAGGGGCTGTGGAAGCTCAGAGGAGGGCATCCACTCGGGCTCCAGGAGGCTCAGGGAAGGGTCTCTTCCCTGAGAGGATGCCTAATCTGGTATCTGCTGGCATCTTCTCAGATGGAGAGAGGAGGAAAAGCCTTCCAGTCATAGGGAGTAGCAACTGCCAAATGCAGGGATGGGAGAGACACTTAAGCAAACTCTGGAACTATAAGTGATTCCCCCCGGCTGGGGTATAGACTGAAACAGACGTGTGAGATGGGACTCTGCCAATCTCCCGCTGATCTCTCTGACTGTAAACCACTCCGTGAGATACCCAAAGACATTCATTTAACAAGCATCCATTGAACATCCTCTGTGAGCCAGGCTCTGTATCAGGTTGGTGCTGGGCATGTGGAGTCAGAGAAAAGTCACAAATCCCTACTCTCAGGAAGCATGGGTGTAGTGGAGGAGACAGACACTGTGCAATGCGTTATGTAAGAGTTAGGAATGAAGCACTAGAAAGAAGGAAGTAATTAATGCGGCTCAAGGAAGAGGTGATGAGTGGGTGTTCTAGCAAGGGGAGAAAGAAAAAAGTATTTCAAATTAAGGGAAGGCAAGGAGGAAGGAGAAGGCACTGATGTATTCACAGAACCCCAAGAGGCCAGAGTGGTTGTCATGTAAGGTACAGGGTGCAGGGGAGGCGAGGTGGCTGTGACACCAGCCTGGGACGCACAGGTCCTAGACCCCTGTTGTCCGTGACAGTGACAAAGGGTGTGAAAGGAAGGCCCAGGCCCAGGCAGGCTCACAGGTCACCACACTCAAGGCAGGCCCTCCAGGATCACCACCCTCTGGCACCTGGCCCAGTTCCCCAGCAACTCCAAGGAGACAAGCTTGAGGGGCCTAGGTCATGACAAGCCCGGCCCCTGGTGTCACATCCTGGGAAACTGAAGCCCCCAGGGGCACGGTGACGCGCCAGAACTCCGAGGTCACAGAACTGTGTGTGACAGACGAGGGCCACACGGCGGCCTCCTGACTCCCAGTCAGGGTCTACTATGCCTCGGAGGGGCTTAGCTTCCTCATTCGTAGGATGGAAGGAAAGAATCTTCCAGCACCTCTACGAGTTTTGGGAAGACAATGCGACAGACGGGTGGGCAGTGCAGGTTGACCAATAAGGCGGCAGGAGTTTGCAAAATCCGGAACGACACCTCCCTCCCGCCCTCTTCTCCCTCTCGTACCTCCCCCATGCTCCCGCCTCCCTCCACCTCCTCTTCCGGACCCTCCCCTGGGGCCCGCCCGCCTCTTCCGGTCCCTCCCCCGAGGGCCGTCCCTACTTCCGGTCCCTCCCCCCGGGGGCCGCCCCCCGTCTTCCGGTCTCTCCCCCGAGAGCCCATGTCTTCCGGTCCCTAACTGAGGCTCCGCCCCTTTAGCTGGGCCTTCCCCCGCCGTTCTCATTGGCGGAAAATCGGAGCCGCCCCTCAGGTTGCGGAGAGATGTGCTCCAGGGTGCCTGTCCCCGGAAGTGGCCGTGGAACGGCCCTCCTCTGAGGAAGTGACGGCAGCAGTGCCCTTGACAGGCGCGGAGGGCCGGGCCGTGCACCTTCCGCTGGCGCTGCAGGGAGGTAGGAAGCCGTGGGGGCGGCTCTCGGTGCTGTAGCGGCTGAGGCGCGCTGCGGGCGCCTTCCTGCGCGGCGGGCGGCGGAGCGGGCGGAGGCCCGGGTCGAGGGAACCTGCCCTCCGGAGAGCCGGGGTCCCCCGTGGCGTCCGTTCCCCAGTTCCCTCCACACACACGTCCCTCCTTTTGCGTCCCCCCCACACTCCTGTTCTGTGCCTGTTAGTTCCTCCTTAAATTGTTGCGGTTCCTCCTTCCTGATGCTTTGACAACCCCCTTTTCCTTAATTTCCCATTAAAACACTTCTTAATAGAGTGATCGATAGCGTAAGGACTTTGCAGACGGCCTTTGGTTCCAGTGTTGACTCGTTTACTAGTTGGGTTACTTTGGGCACCAGCTTACCCGAGCCCCGGATTCTTTCTCTGTAATGTGTGCGATACTATGGAAACGTCCTCAAAGTAGATCTGGGAGGACTAGGGTGGATGCAGGGCACTTGGCCCTTAGCAGGTGCTCTGTAAATGTTGGTTCTTTCCTCCCTTTCTTCTTGTAATTCAACCAGTATCCTAATTTCTTTACTATTTCCTGGCATTTTGCTTCCAGCCCTGCATCTTGAGCCCCCCAGTTCTTCCAAATACCTTTCTTTTTCTGGTGTGTTGACTGCGTGTTGTCTGCCCCAGCTCTTCCGGCCTTTTCCCCTCACAGATGGCTCAGCGACTTCTCCTGAGAAGGTTCCTGGCCTCCATCATCTCCAGGAAGCCCACTCAGGGTCGGTGGGCACCACTTACCCCCTGGGCCCTGCAGACCCCACAGTGCAGTCCTGGTAACCAGACAGTGACACCCAGCCAAGCCCGGTCAATATACACCACCAGAGTCTGTACGACCACCTTTAACATCCAGGACGGACCTGACTTTCAAGACCGAGTTGTCAACAGTGAGACACCAGTGGTTGTGGATTTCCATGCACAGTGAGTCCTGGGGGTCAGCAGAAGACTGGGGTGTCGCTTGTTCAGGTATTGATTGAGTGCCCGCTCTGTCTCAGTACCACGTTTGATGCTTCTCGTGCACAGACTCATTGCAAAGACTCGTAAGACCCAATCCCTGCTCTCAGAGATTGAGTGCAGTCTGGTAGGAGACAAACTGATAAACAGGCCTCAAAGCTCGCTGTGATTAGTGCTGAGAAACTCTTAACGCTCTGTGTCTCTGCTTGAATGGGTCAGTCACCTTCAGCCTGGACAAAAGTGGGAAAAATATGACTATCACATCCTCTGGTTGTTGGTGTGTACCAGTTCCTGGCCCTGTAGATAAGTTGATTTTATTTCAGCATCTTGCCACCAAAACCGGGAAAGGCTGGCAAAAAGTTATCAGTGCCACCGCAGTGGTGCCCGAGCATGCAGGGACGGGCAGGAGTTTCTTTTCAGTGCTGTATGAGTTTGTGTTAGGGATATTTAAAGGGCTGTAGCCTTCTGATTGTTAGCCTGGTCTTCATTTCCAGACCCTTGTGGCCTGGCTACAAAAAACTGGACAAACCCCTTAAAATTAGACATTCTAGAAGGAGCCAATGTAGCCTGAGTTAGAAGTTGGGAGGCCTTCTGAACAAATCTCTGACAGACTCTTTTGCTTTCTACCCCAATCTTCCTCTGACTCACCATGTCGCCTTGGGCAGGCCATTTGATGTCCTTGTCCCTCCCTTTCTTTCCTTGTAGTGGGAGATGAGGGCTTGCAGACTGGACTGTTAGGTGTTGTGAGTTCGTGCATTGAAATCTCTGAATGGAAAGGGTTTTAATGGCTGAGGATAAAATAGGCGTCATCGACCAGGGGTTCATGGGATCAGAGCTGTTCTGCCCTCCTGGTATGGTGAGCACTCCAGAGAGCACTTCCAAAAGGAATGATAAATGGAGTGATGCCTCATTTTCTTCTCCAACAAGGAAGCAAGGTGCGAGTTTGTTCATTTAGTGCCAGGCACTGTCCTTAGTGCCACACACCTAGAGATGACAGCCTATTCTCAAAGAGCTCCCCACCCGGGGGGGAACACCTCCCTGGTAGCAGTTGACACAGGGGCTGACACCGAATTGGCTGGGGCTGAAAGAGGACACTTGGAACACGACCTGGGTTGCAACCCCAGCTGTGCTTCTTACTAGCTCTGTGACCTTACACAAGTTTCCTAACTTGTATGGGACTCAGTTTCTTAGGAAGATGTTTTCTTTCCCTTTGCAGGGTTGAGGGTTCTGTGCAGTAGAAGCTGAGAAAGTTCCTGGCGCAGTGACTGGCGTGTCGTAGACACTCACTAGCCATTGGTTTCCCCTCCCTTTAGTTCCCAGTCCATGAGGTGTCGGAAGTCCCTACAGCTCACAGACCATGTTTATCCACGTTGCCTTAGTTGCTTTCTCATCACAGCTTTGAGAGGCAGAGTCTCTCTTTTGCAGCTGAGGAAACTGAGGCCCCAGAACAATCAGCTGGTCGGTGAAGAGCCTTTCTTTGAACCCAAACCTTTTAACTTCAAGTCCCATATTCTTCTATATGACCATATTTTTTTTAGATATATTGAAATAAATGAAATAACCTTTATAAGAGTGTTATGATGAGGCCTGTGTTTTAATAGTCCGGGACCTGTGCAGATTCCTCTGTTGCAGAGTCTCCTGGCGTTACCCTTTGGCATGTCAGCATTGCAGGTTAATAGTCAAACACTGTAAACAGAGGTAATAAGGGCAAAAGGTCCCTCAGGAAGATGTGCGTCAAGGGAAGGTTCTGGGGAGACCACAGATGGATTGTCAAGCGCTCTCGTGACAGGATGCTTCCTTTCTCCCCTCCCGAGGTGGTGTGGTCCCTGCAAGATCCTGGGGCCGAGGTTAGAGAAGGTGGTGGCCAAGCAGCATGGAAAGGTGGTGATGGCCAAGGTGGATATTGATGACCACACAGACCTCGCCATAGAGTATGAGGTATGGACTGGCAGGGGATTGCCACAGGGCAGCCGGTGTGGGGGGTGCTCGGGGCCAGAGAAGCTGGTGCAGGAGATGTCTTGGGGACCACCAGGTAGTCAGTAAGGTGGGCGTCTTGGTTTTTTCTTGTGGTCTCAGGAGTTCAGAGCACCTTGCAGATGTGCCTCCATTGATCCTCTGAGCCACTTGTCTCTCTTCTCCACCAGCTTTAGGATGTGTAACGTATGACCCAAAACACAGGTCCTTCTCTGAGTCTCAGGACATTGATGCATCCTTCGCTCGTGTGTGTCCACTCACATGTCCAGTTACCAGTCATTTGTGAGCCCTGCAGTGCACCAGGCACTTGTGGTTCTGGACAAATAAGATGAGCTCCTTGTCCCCAAGCAGCTCTCAGTCTAGCGGGAGATGGGGAGACATGTCATTTCACTGTAGGGCGAGAAGTGCTGGGAAAAGAGATGCACAGGGGAAGAAGGGACTGATTGTCACAGGGCGGGGGACAGGGAATATTTCCCCTTAGAGGGAGCCTCTGAGTGGAGCCGTGAAGGACGCACAGAGAAGATGGGGGACACAGCATACACAGAGACATGAGGTAGCCTGGTGTGTTTGATTGGCTTGTCCATCCATCCAACACATGTTTTCTCAGGGTCCCTTACATGCCAGTGCTGTTACTTGTTGCCAAGGACATGACAGTGACCAAATCTGACAGAACCCCTGCCTTTGTGGGGCCCGTGTTCTAGTATTTTCGGTTGGGGCTCAGCAGACTTTCTCTGAAGGACCAGGTGGTACATATTTGAGGTTTTGCAGGGCATTGACCTTTGTTGCAAATAGTTAACTGTCATTGTAGCACTAAAGCAGCCATAGACAATGTATAAACAAATGGGTGTGGCTGTGTGTCAATAAAACTTTATTTACAAGGGCCAGCCATGTGGCGTAGTGGTTAAGTTCTCGCGCTCCACTCCAGCATCCCAGGGTTCGCAGATTCAGATCCCGGGTGTAGACCTATGCATGGCTATCAGGCCATGCTGCAGTGGCATCCCACATATAAAGTAGAGGAAGATGGCCACAGATGTTTTCCAGGGCCAGTCTTCCTCAGCAAAAAAAGAGGAGGATTGGCCTGGATGCTAGCTCAGGGCTGATCTTCCTTAGCAAAAAGAGGAGGATTGGCAACAGATGTTAGCTCAGGGACAGTCTTCTTCACCAAAAAAAAAAAAAAAACTTTATTTACAAAAACGGGCAGCAGGCTGGGTTTGGGCTGTAGGCTCTAGTTCACTGGTCCCTGTTTATCTAGTAAGTGCTATGGAGAAAAATAGGAAGAGGAGGTGGGAGTGCTGAACATGGGCTGGGGAGGGTTTTATTTTTAGGAGGGTGGGCCAGGGAAGGCCTCGCTGAGAAGCTGACCTCTGAGCAAAGACCTGGAGGGAGTAAGGAGTGAACCCTGCAGCTCTGTGGAAGAGCGATCCAGGCAGAGCAGACATTGCATGCAAAGGCCCTGAGGTCAGAGTCTCACAAGTTTGCTCACAGAGTAGCAGAGCCTGTGTGCCTGGCGCAGAGCATGCCGGAGGAAGAGGAGCAGGAGATCGGTGGGGTTTAGCGGCCTCCTCTGGGCCTTGGAGACCACTGTAGTTGCAGAGAGGGGAGAGGTCCATTGTGGCTGGATGGCTAGAGTGAAGGGTTGAGCAAGGAGTAAGAGGACGGGCAGCTGAGAAAGCCAATTGCTGCCAGATTGGAAAGGTCTGGACAGCCCTGCTGAGGATAGCGTTATTACAGGGCGAAGGTCACGGTTGGTGGCCAGAGCCAACTCTGGCTCACGGACATGTTTGATCTGGCCTTCAAAGTGTTTTTTTAAAATACCAAACCAGATGCTGATATTTAAAACTCAGAAGATTTCACGTGAAAATCCAGATTTGTGGTTCTCTTGAAATATCTAGATCTGGCTGGAGTGAACCTTCACCCCTTCCTCCTTCCGGGTAACAGTGTCTGAAAGAGGGGGCCTCTTTCTTTCTCAGGGTTTGGAAGTGCAGGCTTGACTCTCACTAGATCAGGTCAAGTAGAGATGCCCATCCTCCAGCCAGTCCATGTGGCAGGCAATGGGTGGGGGCGGGGTGAGAATAGGCTGGCTGCCCGTTGAGCCGGGGCTGAGAGTGATCACCCAAAGGAAAGTCAGCCTGCCCTGACTAGAGGCAAAGGAAATAGATGCTGGGCAGGCAGAGCCACCGATGGCTACCGCAGATGGTGGGGGGATATTCTCAAAGTAAGACCATCCGTAGCACTGAGACCGAGGGCTGCTTACAGGGGCTTGTGGGGAGGGATGACTCACTGTTTTCTTCCAAAGCTCTCCCACTGATCGCTCAGTCAAGGGGGTACTCATCTGACCATTTAGATGCCCCTAGCTTTCCCTACGTGTCCATCCCTCCCCCAGAGGCCTGCAGCAGCTGTGGGAGTGAAGGTGTGGCCTTCTGGTGTGAGCTGAGGGCTGGAGCTCCTCTTGGGCATCCCCAGGGTGATGGCAGGCTTAAGATGTCTTAGGCTCCCTCATGGCACTGCCCAACACCACAGCTTCAGCCTCAGCCAGTGCAACTTTAGCAGACACACCCCAAGTGCCAACCGTGTTCCAGGAACTGTGATAAATGGTACGGATGCAAAGAAGAATAACCCAGTTCCTGCCAACAGTGGTCACGTGGGTGGTGAGAATTTCCAAGACCGTCCCCACCTGCATTCCAGGGAGCCTGGTGATGTAGGGCTGGGCACGAAAGTCCTGTGGTTAAGCCTGGCAAGTGTGTGTTTGAGAAGAGGGTCCTCTTGTAGGATCTTCTCTCTCCTTCTCCCTCTGTCCACTGTCCAAATAGTGTGCAGGTCACACACAAAGACCTCAAGGCTGCTGGGCCCAGTCACCTGGTCCCAGCCTCCTTGTTTTGCCAAGCCTTGGGCTGAGGTCACTGCAGGCTTAGGAAGCTCCAGTAGAGTTGCTTCCTGACCCCTCCCAGCCCCTTCCTTCCTTCCTTCACACCTGTTCTTTTGGAGGAGGGCCTGAGGAGAAGGTTTCAGCTAAGAGATCCATAGTACCTCCTGGGACAGCTTCCTCCTTTTCCAAATGCTGGATGAACTGGTTGGAGAAACTGCTTTAACTTATATTCAGGGGGGCTGGCCTCGTGGCCCAGCGGTTGAGTACACGTGCTCCACTGCTGGCAGCCCCGGGTTCACGGGTTCGGATCCCGGGCGCGGACCGACGCACCGCTGGGCAAGCCGTGCTATGGCAGCATCCCATATAAAGTGGAGGAAGATGGGTGCAGATGTTTGCCCAGAGCCAGCCTTCCTCAGCGAAAAGAGGAGGATTGGCATGGATGTTAGCTCAGGGCTGATCTTTCTCACTACATACATACATACATACCTAACTAACTGACTAACTAACATTCAGGGAATTAGGCACCTCTCCCTGAGCCCTCCTGACACCCCTACACCCAGCACACACCCTCAGGGTGAGTCTCCTTCCTCGCACCAGTTCCTCTCCCCTCGCACCACACTTTATGCTTCAGTCAACTGCCCGCCTGAGAATTGCAGTGTCTCCCACAGGGGAGGGAAGGGACAGTCGTCCAGGGCCTTGAGGTTTCAGTGTCCGTCCCCCCAGACTCCACGCTGCCCTGGCTTGCTGGAGTGAGCAGCTCTCTGCTCTCCTATCTCCTCACGTTCCCACTGAAGGGCTGGGCATTTCCTGATCCTTCAGAGCTGGCCACCTGCTCGGGGGAAAGAGTGGATCAGGACGTGGACCCTTGAGCCTTTATGCTTTCCTCTGGGGCTTCTGCGTCTGACCTCGCACTTGTAGTTGCTAGCGTTTTATTTTCTCATCTCATAGAAGAATGCCCTTTAAAAAGCATTAGGAAAACAGCCAAGTAACTATCGGGGAAAAGTCATCTGTGAGCTTACCATCCACATGCAGCCACTGTCCGCATTTGGGGGCACTCATTTGGGTTTTTCATTTGAGTTTTCTTGTGTTTAATGTTCCGTATAACCTCACAGACGGTTCATTGACTAACATCTCATAGCTGGAATGCACCGTCCTCCAATCATTCCCATATCTCCCTGTTTTGAAAGTATTCTAAGTTAGTGCTTCTCAAACAGGAATAGGACCTGGGATAGTGTTAAACAGCACACCGTGATTCCGTAGGTCCAGGAAGGGTCCCAGATTCTGCATTTCTAACAAGCTTCCGGGTGATGCACTGCTGGGAGTCTGGGACCAAACATCCAGAAGCAAAAGTTCTGAGGCCCCGGGCGGGCTTTCTGGGAGCTGCTGCCAGCTGCCTGTCAGTGGGAGGCTCACTGGGTGTACGTTTCATGGGTTTGGACAAATGCAGAATGACATGTATCTGCCATTACAGTATCACACAGAACAGTCTCACCATCCTAAAGATCCCCTGTGCTCCACCTTTTCCTGCCTCCTCCTCCTGAACCCCTGGCAAACGCTGATCTTTTTACTGCCTCCATAGTTTTGCCTTTTCCAGAATGTCATAGACTTGGATTTGATTTTTTCAATAATAGTTTTTCCAAGAACCCTCCTGTATCCAAAAGCTTTTACAAAGCATTTGGTGTTTCTCATTTGAAACGTGAAATCCTTTTAATTAACACTTCCCCACATGTTCTTCCTCGCCCTGCGGGGCCTCAGTGTTTGTCTCTGATTCCCTCCTCTTAGGCTGAGGTACAGCAGTGCGATGTCACGGACAGCGAAGTTGAACAGATCTGGTGTCAGGTCCCAGCTCTACCTCCTACTCCCTCAGCCTTCGAGCCTCAGTCTTCCCGTCTCTAAAATGATCCCACCAGGAGGCAGGACTTTATGAGATAGCATACGCACATGGTTGGCATTGTCCTTGACACTTAAAAAGCACTCGGTATGTGGCAGCTGGGGTGACAATGATTTTTTTCCTTTGCGTTCTGCAATTAGCTGAGGAGGAGGTTGCCAGTCTCCTGCGACATCTAGCACTCTGCCTGTCCCTTGACACGGGACATCAAGCTCAGTGGCTGTGCAGGCAGGTGAGCTGCAGCTTAGTGGGAAGAGACCACACACACAAACACTCCCTACCCCGAGTTCCCAGGGTCTTTAGCCAAGCATGGGAGGCTCTAGGTGGCTTCCTGGAGCAGGAGGAGATACAGCCCATCCTAGCACATCTTTTCATCTTCTCTCCAGCCCCTCAGTTCCCTCCGTGCCGCCAGAATTGAGAGGGCAGCTGAATTCTCGCTCCACCGCTGCCCCTCTTACACTTATATCGCCATTCCAGAAGAATGTGCCGAGGACCTGTGTGCACTTCCATTTAAGGCAGTGTTTACGAACACCAGCCCCTCCTGATTTGTGAGCCAAACTCAGAACCAGCAAAGCCACATCCTCTTCCTTGGGGGTGAGGGAAGTCCAATCACAGCCCAGGTATCCCTGCAATGTCCTGGAAAGTCCAGCTTCTGGCAAGCCTGTGGCTGTGTGTCGGGGGGGGGGGGGGTGAGGGAGAGAGAGCGCGTTTAGACTCAAAAGTCAAAGAACGCCCTGGATCAGCAATGACTCGACGTTGGTTGTCATGAAAATACAGTTGTGGCGTGTCTGCTGTGCTCCCGGCTGCGGCATGGTCTGTGCGTGTGCGAGCACATGTGAATTTACACAGTGTGATCATGACGGGACTCATCTGGAGTTCTTGAGGAAAACCAGGTCCACTCCATGCCACCTCGGTGAGCGTAGAGTCCTGCTTAGAGGACACGTAAAAACAGACCACTTCTCATACAGCATTTATTTCAGTTAGAGACAGAGGACGGGGTGGGGTCCAGTAAGTGCAAAGTTGAACAGTCAGCGCTTGATCTTTGTGCCTCGGATGAGAGCTGCCCGATTTGAGGCCGCTGCCGTCACAGACCGCTAGAGGGCGCGAAAGAACAGCACGCGCAGGCCCCGCTGCGCCTCAAGTGACTCGCGCATCCTGGAGCAGGCTTTTCTGGGCCCTGCGTGCCTGGAGACAGGGCGAGCCACGTGCTGGACCCTTGCGCTTCGTGCCACCCCCATGCCGGAGTCAAGAATGACGAGGACAGGAGCCAGTTGTGGGGCCATGAGCAGTGACACGCGTGGTCAGCCCACCAGATAGGTCTGCCTGCACATTCCCTGGGAAGTGTGTCAGATGCCACCCACATCAGCCCAGGGCAGTCCTTGAAGGGGCCTGAAGGCCCTAACAGTGACAGGGACTGTGTCGTCTTACCTGCCCATTAGGAGAGGGGTGCAAGGCCTGCCCTGTAAAGCCAGTGAGTGAGTGATGGCCCACCGAGAGGTGAGACGGGGCTGGGCTGGCCGGCGGGTCTTTGTTTTGTAACTGACATGTGAAGTGTGAACATTCTGAATCTTAAGTTGGGCTTCCCAAGATGACTCATGTGCAGGAAGGCACTTGGGAGATGTGAAGACCTGGTATGTTTGTGTAAATCGCTCTTGTTACTTTGTAGTTAACTCGTGTGTAAGAGAAGTCTGTGTTTATCTTGTTCTGTTTATACGGTTTTTCAAATGCCCACGAATGCCAGGCAGGGAGCCCAGGCAGCAGAAAATGTGTGGTGCCAAAACAGCCATGGGCCTCGTTTCCAAACCATGAAATCTATACAGGTCCCCTGAGAGAGTGAGAAAACGCTTCATAGGCCAAGAATGTCCAGACCCCCCCCCCCAGTAAATAAACGTCAGATCACATATGGCTCCTCCCACACTGTCCAGTACAAGTCAGTGAATTTCTGGGCTCTGCTGACCGTCACAGCAGCAAGCTGAAGTAGCTCGCGGGGTCCCTGCGTTAGGCTTTCTGACACGCGTGCTGTGTACCAGGCACCGTGCCAGTTCTGACACTGCTGACGGGCCTGCCGGGTACAGGGCGCTGTGTCGAGACTGCGTGCGTTATCTCATTCAGCCCCCGTCCCCTCTAATCTAAGTAGCTCTGGTGTCTCCATTTTGCTGCTGAGATCCCTGAGCCCTAGGGGGATGAAGAGGTGTGCCCAGAGTGGCCAAGATTGGGTGAGCCGGCTCCAGATCCAGAGCTCCTACCCACCAGCTTTATGCACGGTTCTTCAATCCCTGTCCTAAACCCTCACGCTAGATAGCATCTCCCCCATTTTACAGAAGAGGGCACTGGGGCTCCAAAGGTGGTGTGAGCTAGCCAAGGACCCCAGCTAGTGACTGGCAAGGCCAGGATTCAGACTCGCATCTCCTCACCCCACTGTGCCCCTCGAGGTGCCCCTCAGGGACGGTCTCTTAGCCCTTCAGCCTCTCCCTCCCCCAGCCCTGGCCTGCAGCTGCATGGGTTATTTTAATCTCTCCTGTCACCGCAGCCAAACCACTGGGACATGAGTCAGTCAGTGGTTGGGGGAGGAAGGGTGCTGCTGGGAGCCCACATGGAGGAGTTTCTCCAGTGGCTGGACCTCCAGGCCCTGCAGTGCCCCTGCATCAAGGGAAGGGCCCACCCATGGCTCTGGGCAGCCACTGCCCTGCAGGAGCCCCCAGTCTTCCCCACAGAGGCTTGGGAACAGCGGGTGAGAAGAGTTCACCTCTAAGTGATGTGGCCTCCCTTGTCACCTCCACCTAGGTGTCAGCTGTGCCCACTGTGCTGGCCATGAAGAATGGGGACGTGGTGGACAAGTTTGTGGGCATCAAGGATGAAGACCAGCTGGAGGCCTTCCTGAAGAAGCTGATTGGCTGACAAGCAGGGAAGAGTCCTGCCCACCTGGGCCCCTGTGGTCCAGGGAGGGACCCTAATAGAACTCGAAGCCCTTCTGTGCCGGCCCTTCCCGCCTCCTCCCTTCTGTCTGTGGCCCTTGCTTTAGAGACCAGGCCTCAAACCTGGAGCCTTGAGTGCTTCCAGCCCGGCGGACTGCCAGGCTGGCCACCAGAGGAGTGGTGCCGCTGTGGACCTGGGGACAGCCGCCTTCGCACCCACTCTCTCTGTCTGCTCCCTCTAGGGCTTGTGGCGGTTCTCCCGAGATGCCTGGAGAGGGCCCCGGGGCCTGCAGTAACAGCCTGGTCCTCATCTCCCTGGTCCCTTCTGAGCCGAACCCCGGTGCCTGGCTCATCTGCCTCCTGCCTTTTTCTTTCCTGCTGCTGTTTTGTAAAAGGAAAAAGAAGGAAAAAAAGAAACCCAAACAAGTGAGAGTAATATATAATTCTCTCATTTTTTGTAGGTCTGTAATAAAGAACTTTATGTGATCCCTTCTCCCTCCTGCTGTGAAGAACAGACCCTGGCCCTGCCCTAAATTACCCCGTAGCCACCACCCCACAGAGCCACCTCCCTTCCTTCCCCCCGGGCACGTGGCAGCCAGCACACGTTGGGCTGGGGGAGTCCTGCAGACCCTCGACTCTGGAAGTCTCGAGACGCCGCCGTCCCTCACCATTAGCCGGCCCTTTGGTTCTCTGAGCAGGAGCCCTCATTGTGAACACACCGGACCAATAAATCCAGGGTTTGCTCTGCCGACAGCTTCTGTTCTGTGCGCTCTGGGAGCACTGGTGACCCCCTGCCAGCCTGGGCTGCTGTCCCTGTTTCTGCCTCCGACTCCACCGCTCTCTTGCCCTTGACCAGCCCCCGTTACTGTTGTCAGTGGTGCCTGCTGTTCTGGGGACACCTTCACCCGCAAGTAAGGGAAGAGGGTGCTTGTCCCCATTGTGCAGATGAGGACACTGAGGATCACGGGGCACAGAGCTGGGATTTCTGCCCAGACGTGGTTGCCTCTGCAGCCAGGGCTCTTAGAGCTGACGCCTTGGGTCCTTGTGGGGCTGCCCCCTCTGCTGACTGCCATGCAGCTGCTCCAAGGGAGCCGGGTTGTTCTCGCTGTGTCTGCTGTAGGGACTCCTCCGTCTCGGGGCCGGGCTCTCTGCCCCTTCTTGTTCCCCACTGCCCTGGGCCATGGAGGAGGGTGCCAGGCAGACCAGGCCCGCCAGCCAAGAAAGCCTGCCCTCTCCCCCTCCTGCGGCCCAGCTGCCCTCTGGCTTGGTTGCCCAGCTTCCTGGAGGCTGTGGGTGCTCGACCGCAGGGTGTCCTGTCACCCTTCCCCTTGGCCCTGGGTGCTGTGTCCACCCCTGTGTGCGTTGTTCTCAGTGGCGTTCCTGTTGCTGTTGGAACAGCCTGAGTTACTCTGGGGCCTTTGAGAGGTCCACCCAAGGGCTGCCTTGGGAAAGCTGCTGTGACTGATGCAGGAGAGCGGGATTGCTCAGAAGCAGGACCTGTGGCCTCTGAACGACCACAGCTGGCATCAGTGGAGAAAGGCCGAGAGCTAGGCATGCAGTGAATACTAGCAGCCAGTGCTCAGAGGGCACACCAGGCACTGTCCTAAGCACCTCAGCCCACAGCAGCCCCACGAGGTCCATGGTAGCATCATCACTCCCTTTTACACATGAGACTCACTGGAGAGGTGGAGGACCCCATCCAAGATCATGACGCCCACAGGCACCTGGACTGGGGTTCAAGGCCAAGCAGGCTGGCCCTCCTGCACCTCCCCCCTCATCTTATAAAATGTGGGCTATGATCTTAATCCCACAACCAGCCGACAAGGCAAGAGTGTCAGCTCACTTTACAGAAGAGGCCCTGATGCAGAGGTTGAGTAACTTTCAAGGACACCCAGCAAGTAAGGGCTGGGGCTGGAATTCAGAGCCGGGGCGCCCTGCCTCGAGCCCAGGTCCTTTCCACTGTACCCCACTGCACTCCTTAAAAGGTGCCCTTTGCCAAGCACTTTGTCTACACGTTACCTCATTTCATTCCTCTCTGATGAGACAAGGCTTATTTCCCTATTACAAGTAAAGAAACCGGTTCAGAGAAATTGACTTGCCCAAGGTCATGTCTAAAAAGTGACAATGCCAGATTTGAACCCGGGTGGGGGGCTGGCCTCTCTGCCCGGAGCAGGTGTGGAGAAGGGCTGGCAGAGGCCTTGGGTCAGGGCACGGCCTCTGCGCCGCCCCGAGCTCCCTCTCCTTAAAAGGTGTGCCCCGGTGCGCGGCAATCCCGTGGCCTCTGCCGTCCCAGGTTGGCAGTCTCTACCCCTGAGGCTGTTCGTGGCGTGAGTCACTGGCTGAGCAGAGTCCTCAGGGTGATCCCGTGTGACTAATTCCATGGCACTGACCTCACCAGGTTGCTGCTGGCTCTGCATCGTCGGCCCCACTGTTGCCCTCCGTGGGCTCCCGGGCCTGAGGAAGAGGGGTTGGCAGTCCTGCTGGGGGGCAGACAGACCAGTGCCAGCCCCTCTGAAACGAAGACACCTGCTGAAAGCCTAGGAAAGGGGACACAGCCACAGGCTCCCCCTCAGCCCCAAGACACCCTGGGGTGTGGCTTCTGTACATTTCTTCTCTGACACCAAGTTTACCCAGTCGGCCTGGAGGCAGGAGCCGGGGATGGAAGCTTGAGTTTGCTGTGCTGGCTCCTGGACTTGTGTCTCCACTGTAATCCCCACCCCTCCCCTGCCAGGCACAATTGTCCCCATTTCACAGATGAGATGGGCGCAGAGTGAGGTCAGCGGAATGGCTGAGACGCCACTCTGAATAGGAGTGCTCACCATCCAAGAGCGTTAGCGGGTCTTAGAAGCATTTGGATGAATGAATGGTGGTCACTGACGTGGGTTCTTTCTAAACATACGGAACACGGGAGGGAAATGGACCATCCCCTCAAGGAGTTTGTGCTCTAAGACAGCAGAGCGAGGGGCCGCGGTCACTCCTGAACTAACGTCCGGGGACATCAGGTTTCTTCCAGGACCCTGATAAGGGCGCGGGGAGGGGGTGACTTGCCCAGGTCACAGAGTGTTTGTGATAGGGACTTGAAGCCCAGTCCCCTGACTTCAGCCAGCCCTGAAATGAAATGAAAATGAGTCACAGCCGTTTCTTCCCTCAGCTTCAGGAGAGGCGAGTGAGGAGGGCGCTGTCTCTGAGAAGGGCCGTCTCTGGGGCCAGGACCTGTCTGGTCAAGGGGATGTGAATGGTGCTGTCGCCAGCGCGCTTCCCAGAAGTCCGTGCCTGGGGCGAGGGCCGGGTCCAGCTCAGCCCCGACCCCAGCCGCCTGGGGAAAGCTTCTCAGGAAAGTGAAGGGAGTTCTGGCCAGGCTGCCGGAAATCCCTAATGTGGGGGCCCTGGGCCGGGAGGGTCCAGAGAACAATGTCGGCCACCGGCAGGATGCTGTGCAACAAGCAAGGCTTCCAGGCACGATGCCGCAGTTCCTCCCTGCCTGGAACCCCAGCTGCAGGCGTGACCCTGACCTGGTCCCCGGGGCCGGCTTCCATGGCTCCGCAGGAAATCTGGGCCAGTGGTTGTTCCAAGGAACCTCACCTCTGCAGCCACCTCCTGACAGCCTTGTGGAAGCTGGGGGCCACCACCGGCCCCTCCACAGTGGTGTAGGCAGGGCAGAAAGAATCAGATCTGGGTTCACGCCCTGGACTTGCCACCGACTAGTTGTGTGGCCTTGGGCAAGTTGCCTCACCATTCTGAGGCTTGGTTGTGACATCAGTAAAATGGGGACGTCGATGGCTAGCGCTCGCTGAGTACATGTTACATGAACCATGTCGTCGAGTCTTCACAACAACCCCAAGAAGTAGGAACTATCATTACCGTCATTTTACAGACGAGGAAACTGAGGCCCAGAGAGTTGAAGTAACTTGGCATTCACAGTGTCGAAGCTCAGATCTGAACTCAGGTGTGTCTGATTCCAAAGTCTCTGTGTTCTGACCCATTACTACACTGCTTTCCCTGTGGAGCAAGGTTTGTCACCATTTTGAGCCTCACTTGCACCATCTGCAAACTGGGGCTAATAACCATCACTACCGAATGAGGTCATCACCCGGATTAAACTGGGAAGGGTGTAGAAGCATTCTGGTACCTAGTGGGAGCTCAAGAAGCATCCCTTGCATTGCTCTCCCCTGTCCCTCAGCTTCCCCTGGACTAAACTGCATCTTAAACGGGAAACACCAGTCTTCCCGAGATAAGGACCCCAGCACCTCACCATGGGACGGGCCTGTCATTGTACCAGGCTGTGGGCCTTACATTGGCTCTATGCCCTGGCCCTGGTCCCTGCCACCACCCCCTCCTGCTCCAGAGCTGGCTCAGTGGTGCCTGGGGCTTGGGCAGCCCCGGGGGAGCTGGAGGTGGTGACCTCACCCTTGGAGAATGCCCACTGGAATTCACCCCAAGTCCTCTGTTCTCCATGCCTCCCGGCCACATCTGACTGCCCTCTCACTCAGCCTCTAAGCCAGCGTCCACACACTGCGCCAATGGGAGCATGTCTTGGGAGCTAGGACACCCCTGCTACGCAGCCACTAATTATTAATTGGGGGTGAGCTGCTTCCCCACCTTCAGCCAGCTTAGTGGGTGACCACAGGCAAGCAGGTGTCTCTCTGGTCTGCTGTCTTCCTCAACGTCCCAGCAAGGAGGCAATCCAGCATTGATCCCTTTATGCCCCACACTATAGATGCTCCACCCACATCTAACCCTCCTAACACCCACCTGAGGTAGTGATTGTTCCCATTTCACATACAAGGAAACTGAGGCCCAGAGAGGTGGCATGACGTGCCCAAGACACACCCTGGGACATGGGTCCAGGGTGGCCTGACCCAGTCCCCTCTCCCTCCTGCTTTGCCACACTGCTGTCCCCAGGAAGTCAAAGGACCCCTCTTCTTGTGCCAAGAGTGGGGACTCTGGGCCTCTCTCTCTTATCTGCCTCCCCCACTCTGACCCCTGGCAGGAGACAGAAGGTTCCCTTCGCTCAGGATCTACTCCTGAGGCTGGGATAGTCTCTCCAGCCGAAGATGGCGGCCTCACCCCTCACCTCAGCCCCCTGGTGTTTGCGAGTGCCTCTCTGGGGCTGCCAGTCCTAAACATTAGGAATTCAAAGCAGAGGAGGACAGAGCCCCAGCCATCAAGGAGCTCACGGCAACCACATCGATACAATCTAAAGTGTATGGGCCGGCCCCGTGGCTTAGCAGTTAGGTGCGTGCGCTCCACTGCTGGCAGCCTGGGTTCGGATCCCGGGCGCGCACCGACGCACTGCTTCTCTGGCCATGCTGAGGCCACGTCCCACATACAGCAACTAGAAGGATGTGCAACTATGACATACAACTATCTACTGGGGTTTTGGGGGGAAAAAGG